TTATTTTTTTAGGTGCGGTGGGTTTCTGATAAATGAAAACCTAAAGATAAAGATTTTACTAGTCGAACGATGTCAAATCGAGGACCAATCAGGTGACCGAATTCCACCTGATTAGTTCCTATTTTTTAAAAATTTTCATCAATCGGTAACCCTGATTGCTGCCAAAAGATGGTGCAAAAGGAAGATACTCAGGTACTAATCAGGATATTCAATAGAGTACAATCGGGTATTAATAGTTACCAATAGAATATTTACTATTTAACATATCAGTATACCGATTTATAGCTTTTTGATAAATTTATAACAATAAGAAATCTTCTGATTGCCATACATTTTTATTTAAAAATTTACAAAAATTTACGATTTTATTTAAAATATTTAAAATATTTAATTCGTGATTTGCCGATTACGGGATGTTGATCATATATGCATGTAATAATCAAGGCGGGGATAATCAATATATTTGAACGAGTATACTTGTAACAATCTGACAACGCGTTATTAAATATTATAACAAACTGTTTAAACATGTCAAAACGGTGGAAACCTTCAGTAACATTGATTGCTACTGGTATAATTATTCCCGACTTACACTTTGGGCCTTTTTTAAGAAACTGGTGGCATGTTAGATCGTTACAGGAGAACGGAATGAAAGTAGAACAATACTATCCTTTTCGAATTGGTATGAAAACACAGGTTGAGCTGAAAAACAGACCTTTTATTATTCGAATAGTTCAAGGAAATAAACATAACAATTTGTTACCGGGATTTTTTTGTGAATCTTTATCTGAATCTAATGAAGAAGTTGAAAATGACCCTACTAGTGCTATTTCAAACCTCTATAAAAAAATATTTCAAACTGAAACGCGCTTTTCTGGAACATTGGTAATGGGTATGGATGACAATGACATTCTAAGTGAAATTGTATCGGACTTGTCCTTTCTACCTTTTTCAATAAATATGCAAAAGATCAATATAACAATACATTCAATTGGCGCGTCAACAAACAAAGGAGTTGGAAGTGGATTCGCATCATCCTTTATCTATACCAGGTCTAAAGAACGTGCATTATTTTTCCAAACTGTCAATGAGAATGAAAGTTCCATTTATATTTACAAAGAAAACCAACTATCTGAAGAATTTCATGGATCAGATCCTAATAGTGTGTGGAAAAAAATGGGCATGTTAAAAGAATGGTTAGGCGAGACTTTATTTGGCTTAGATAATTCTAACGTAAAAAAAAAACTAGAACAATTGAAAAAATTTGTATGTTTTTATAATGAATGGCACGATTATTCAAAAATGGAGCAAATATTCAGATATCATTTACAAAAAAGAACATGTAGTCAAGTTGATTGGTATTTATTATTTCGGGAATGGAAAGAAAATAATTGTCCAATAATTGAATTACATAGTCAATTAGCTTCGTTATATCCAAATGGTTATATTTTCTCAGAAAGAGAAATGAGAGCATGGCGGGCGATGTTACGTGCTACAGGATGTATCAATATAACACCATTTGATAAAGAAGAATCGGAGGTAAGCTTTTAAACAAATTTATTACTTTCAATAGCAAAAATCTCACATTAATATTTCACGAATCTGGTGGTGATGGTAATAACTAATGATGGTGGTATATCGTGATATAAATTCTGTGATGAACAGCACATGTTAAATTTTGTTCTATTATAAATAAAAAATAATGTTCAACTAATAAATTTTCTTACCAATTATTATAGTATGAATTTTGGACGCGATCATCTGATCCTGAATCAGATAAAGCAATGATAAATATGCTTTATCAAAATGGTTTTTTACGAACAATACCAAGTAATATGTTCAATGCTACAGAAGTATTCTGGGAAAGTTTTGAGCATAGTTTGAGTTTAAATAAACGTGGCGCTAATGGAAAACAAAGAATACTTTCAATAATTGCAGATAAGTTTCCTTATAAGGAATTACAAACCAGACTTCATGTAATTATTTTATAATTACCTTTGAATAAATTTTTCGCTAGTTAATTCATTATCTTTTGTAGGTTTCTTCACATACAATTCACAATGCAAAAATACATGGACGTATATTTGGCCATGGATGTCCAGCTGCACCTAAGCCACCAATGCGAAAAAAAATTATGCCTCAAGAGCATGAAGATCAATTCGAATGGTTCATGAGCAGTAAAGAAAATGTGAATTTAAGTTCTTACAAGGTCGATGCCAAAACAGGGTTGCCATTAAAATACCTTAGTGATCAGAAAGAAGCTCTTTGGGAAAAATTTCACAAATTGTACCCTGAAGGAATGAAGAGATCAGCATTTTTGGAAAGATTGAGAAATGGACCATTTGTATATCAAGAGGATTTGGGCGGACTTTGTAGTACTTGTAGTACATATGGATATGATGTATTTAAGGATTTGGCAAATCTAATTATACAAAATATTGAAAATCAAGAACTACAGGTATTATTCCGTCCAATTTTTGTTTCTATAATTATAAATATTCAAAACTAATAACAAAATTGTAAATTAGACGCGTTTACTTAAAAGTATTGAAAATTCTAAACGATTTCTCAAACGTGATTATCCAAAACACTTACATGTGACATGTGATGGAAAAGTATCGCATGACCCTTGTATTAATCATTGCCTACCATTTGCATTTGGTAATTGTAATGAGGATCATATATCAGAGTGTGTTGAATGTAACGAAATCTTCAATTTATTTGAGGAATTGCGATTATTACTTGGAGATGAACAACAAGAAACATTGAGAGAATTTCAGGAAATGCTAGAATACTACCTTGCGCACCTAACAAGAAAAGGGTATTTGAACAGTCAATTCAATGCAAATCTTTTGCAACTTAATAACGATGGTATTCTTATTGTGGTGGACTATAAGATGCGAATACTACCAAAACGAATTCGAGAAACAAAACAAGACTTTTATGCAAAACGTGGATGGGCACTGCATACTGTTTTGGTATATTCTAAAAATCAAGAAAGCAACGAATTAGAAATTCAAGCATTTGACCATTGGTCAAATGATAATAGACAGGACGCATGGTTTACTGCTTCATTCTTTGATGCAGTATTTACCTTACTCGATCCAAAGTCAAAATGGGTTATCGTAATGAGTGATAATGGCCCACACTACCATTGTTCAGAAACAATGGCATTGGTTTCAAAATGGGCAGAATGGTATAATATTGAATGTAAAAAGTGGTGTTTTTTAGAGGCAGGCGAAGCTAAAACCTCAATTGATAGTCACCATGCACAAGTAATAATCATATTTACTTTGCTTTTTTTGACAAATATATTCATTCGAGCAATTCTCATCTCTTTTAATTCAATCAATCTAAGATCTCACATGCTATTAAGAGATATGTTCGATTAGGGTTTGATTTAACTACTGGTGAAGATATTGAAAAGGCATTAGATGGTTTAAGTGGTACAGCAATAGCTTATTTGAAACCTAATCGTGATCAAAGGAGTCAAAGTAATGTTAAAACTATACCAGGAATTTCTAATTGGTTTGAATGGTCTTGGCCAACGGAGGGTCCCTTAGCTGGATATATTTGTGCACGCGACCTTCCCAATTTTGGAGAAATGATGACTTTTTCTGTGAGTAAATTTACTAAAACAGAACTTGTACAGCCTGAACCAATGGTGGGTGAACATTCCAAGGCTTTTTTAAAATGGACAATGCCAATATATCGAGCTTCAGGCAAGCTTATTTTTTCAATGGCATTAATGGCGTTTCAATTTAATAGATCACACTTATTGTATGATTCATTTGAACAATTTTCATTTGGTAGTGACAAATACTAATCATTGGGATTTAAGAAGATGGACAGTTGATAAATTAAAAGATGAATTGAACAGAAGAAATATTCATTTTGATATTGGTATGGGACGAGGTGAATTAGTGAATTTGTTGAAGCAAGAAATAGGAGAAGAATCACAAATTGGTGAAGAATCAAGAGAAGATTTCTCAAAAACAGATATAGATGAGTGAGTAAAAATTGGTTTTATTATGTAAAATAATTGATCAAATGCTCAAAAACTTTCAAAATATAATAGGAATCAAATATTTCACCTACAACTTGGATGGGCACTTAAATGCAATCAGAAATATGGTAAAAAAGGCAGTGGAAAAAGACTAGTAAAAGAAGTAGTAATGGCGTTAACTCACTTTTTTATGGTTGGACAACGTGATCCTAGTGACCGATACACTGCAAAGGATATGCTGGATGGGTTGAAAGAAATGGCAGAGAATGGTGAAATTACAACTGAAGTAATACCTTCTCTAAAAACGATAGAAAATTGGATTACTAGATATTCAAGTTTATCGAAAAAAGAACATGCAGAACGTTTTTAGAAGAATAAATGCATTGATAAATAAATTGCGAATAAAAGATTGTAATAAATTTTACATTTTAAAATTGGTTATCCCAGACAACCAATAGTTTTGCTACAATGAAAAATACCTTTTTTGATAATATGAAATTTGCGTTTGACTTTCAGAAATTTCAATAAAAATTCGCCAAAAATAAACAAAATATGACTTTTTTATCTTTTTCTTTATTATTAGAACAAGTTTATTAAAATATAACCCCAAAATTTGAACAAATATTAGAATTGTAAAGATCGAAATTATGAAAGAGCCTATATATTAGAGGCAACAATCTGACATTGTCCACTAATAAACTTTTTGAAATTAAAAAACAAAATTATCGAAAAGTCATTTTGATTGAAACATGTGGTTATGGTGACGTATTTACAAAAAGGAAGTGGCTGAAAATTGCATATAAATTTGTGTTACTTATTGGCTAATTTCCGTAATTTTCCAGAATTAATTAGTGATCAGCAAAATTTTTGCCCCACGTTACACTGAGAATTTTATGTTACTGATCGGCGAATCACGAATTAATATACTAAAAAATCAGTTTTATTGAAATACCGATATTGCTAAAATTGTTATTTATATAATTTGACTACTCCACTATTCGCTGCTGATACTATCATATTCAGAGGAAACAATACTAACACCTCTTTTATTTTTATTCTGATCCTCTTCTTCGTCTTTCTGATTTTCATCAACTTCTTCTTGATTTTCTTTAACTTCTTCTTGATTTTCGTCAACAACTTCTTGATTTTCATCTTCTCTGGCCTGATCATCTTCTTCTAGTAGATCCTAGTTTTCGTCAGCTTCTTCTGGAAGAGAGCATTTATTTTTACTATATTTCTCGATAAGCTGTTTTAGGGATCCATTGTAGCTGTCTTTAATCCATCATAGGGTGTTAATTGACGCATCAATTTCATTAGTTGCGTAATTACCATACTTCTGATTTCTTACACGTCGAGACTTTAATGAAGCTGCACTATCGACATAATTTCAAAGAAATGTACGTAGCTATACAAATAAAAATAGTATTAAATTAAGATACACCGATTGGTAAAAATTACTCGAATACTTATGGAAGATGATCTCCATTTGAGATCCCGGATGACGATCTTATGTTTGTTTGAGTTGTCTTTATCGGTCTCCGATTTCTCTGAACTGTAGTATCGATTTTCGGTCTGAACAGGTCAGAGCTCGTCATTGTAGAATTTATCTACCAATCGGTCCTTTAACGTGGTTAGTTTGTCAATGATTTTTGATCTTCTTTCAAGTTTCTAAATAAATAATAGGAAATATTTATTAATAAAAAAAGGTAATATCAAATAAAATAATTTAATATTTACATCACTTTATCGGGAATTTGCGTGCTACCTTCTTTTATCATTTTCTACCCAATTTGCATCTCGTCTTGCATTAAGAAGTTCCTCTCGTTAGTGCCGATAACGTTCATAAATAACATGTTTAATGATGCTATCGGTCACCGAGAAGAACTTCTTATTAATTGATTTTTGAACAACCGGGATGATATTATTCACTTTTTTTTGTTGACTTTCAAAGGTTTTTTTTATATTTAGACTTTTATCGTCTGGAAGTCAGTCCATTATTCTGACTATTTCACCCTAATCGTGAGATTATCATAATTGATTAGCAACAATTTGGATAATTAAAATGAATTAAAATAAAATACAGTTCATAATTGATTAGCAGCAATTCAGATAATTAAAACAAATTAAAATAAAATACGGTACTTTTAAAGTATTCCTCTAATCCCTATTCATTTTTTCGTAATGAAGAAATGATAATGAATTTGAGGATGGCGCTGAATTTGAGGATGGTGCCAATTTTGAGGATGGTGAGGATGAAGTTGATGAAGATGAAGAGAAAAAGGATGGGAATAGGGATGGAGATAGTCTGCTTTGCACACTTTTTGACAATTCTGGTATACCGTATTTTTGCACATATTTAGGCTTATTCAATGACCTGGTCACGTACTGGTTCTTTCGGCTTTTTGAACCTTGAATTTCCAGATCCACGTTAGACCAGTCAATAATATTTTCTTTTGGATCAGTTATCTTCTGCTTTTCTTTCGTAACAGACTTAAGCAGGCGAGTTAACTCCTCAATCTGCATTTGTAAAGCTATAAAAGGAAATCAGGTTAAAACTAAATTGATTTGTGATAGTTTTTCATATAATTACATACTGGATTTATTGGAATCATTATTTCTCTCATTTTGTTGAGTCGATTGGTCATTATTTCTCTTATTCTGTTGAATCGTATCATCATTTCCTTCATCGTTTTCGTTAACTAAATTAATAAAAATAGGCTTTTTGCCTTTCATTATTATTTCACATCCTTTAGATTCGTGATATATTGAATTCAATCACACATGATTAACGTAAATTTTCAAAATATACCACTGTTTCTCTTGTCCTCAACAATGTCAATTAAAGCGGGCTTTTGTTTTTTCGTAGATTCTAATCGTCATCTTATTGTACATCTTAACTCAGGATCACTTTCATTAGATATCAATTGTGAAAAATAAGTAATATATTGAGAAATTAAAGAATTTGATAAAAATCAACCAAATTAAATTACCCTTGTTTGATACTACTTTGCTTATCAGATTTTCTATCTGAATCACTATCCGAATGGTGACGTTTTTTAGATTTTTTTGACTTTTTGACTTTTTTATTTATATTAGTTATATTTGAATGTATTTACAATTTTGAGTAAATTTTTATATATAAAATAATATAGGATTTTTTTACAAAAATCGGTAACGAGTGAGAAAAAAAAAAAAAGTCTGTCTAAAAATTAGACTTATATATATATATTTATTTAATAGTTTAAAAATAAACTTTTACGAACCATTAATATTTATGATTAAACTTTAAATAAATCAATTTCATCAATTTTCAATAGTATAATATAAAAATAAATTGTATCAAATTTTCGTAAGATTAATAAATTATATACTATTGATATATTTAGAAATAAATTGTATCAATTTTCACAATCTCTTTATTAACCGATTAAAATAAATAGTTTAATTTATCTAATTATGATAATATTCGCACAATTCAATTCTGATGTATACAATAATTAATCGCAAAGCCAATTGATCAAAATTTTGTGCGAACTAACTGATTGATGTATTTTGAGGAAATTTTGATTACAAATTGATAGAATGAAGATGACAAAATCAAAGAAAAATCGCATTAATAAAGATCGTACGAAAGTTACTGATAGTGCACCTAAAACTAGAAAATTTGTCAAATGCAATTGTTTGTTGCATTGTGATAGTGGTAAGTTAGTGGATTCTAAAACATTCAGAAGACATCAAGAAAAAGTTAATCGACTTCAAACAATTGCTTCTGGATCTCAGAGTTCTTCTCAACTAAAAGGTACCAGGAACAAATTGTATAGTGTAGAATCATCTCCAGATGAAAAAGGAAAAAAAAGAATTAGAGTGGTAGAGAATACATCAGATGATGATGATGGCGATGATGATGATGATGGTGATGATGGTGATGAATCTTCTGATAAAAGAGGAAAAAAAAGAATTAGAGCAATAGAATATTCATCAGATGATAATGATGAATCACTTCTAAGCAATAATGAACCAATGCCAGAGAGACCAGAAAAATGAAAGCGTACCAATAAGATTGATGATATGATTCCTGATGATGACAATAGTGATGGTTCTTTGACCGACAGGTCTCTAACAGAAAGTGACGCTAACGAATCCTTGACAGAAGATGATGATGAGGCTTCTGAGGTATCTGAAGATGATGACCGTAGTTTAAGTGAAGATGAAGTTCTGATCAAACAATTTACAGCTCCTGATTTTGATGACTATGATTATGAATCAGATCTTAGAAATCTTGACATAAACATTAACTTCAACGATTCGTGGATACTTTTGTGGATATTCAAATATCAGGCGAGATTTCGTCTTCCTGATGTCGCCATCGATAAACTTATTAAATTTTTTAAGATAGTTTTATCGGATGCTGATAAACGACGATTTGAAAAATTCCTTACATTATTTTATTTGGCGAAAAAACTTTTAAAGATCGTTAGTAATGATCTATGATTATACAATATGCATGTTGGTCGAATATCTACATCACGCGTTACACATATCAAAAGTTTAAAAAAGAATCTTATGCATTCTTTTTTAAACTTTTATTCCTCTTTTTCCTCGTCCTTTGGCTCTATAGGTGCAGGAAAAAAAATTTTTTTTTTTATTATTTATTTTTTAAATTTTAGTGGCTTCGTCTTTTCCTTCTCAGAATGCCAGTCAAAACTACACACCAGACTTTGGATAATAAGATAAATGGGAGGGGGAAGTCAGTTTTTTTATTTTAGAAACATTATAACGTTTCTTTTCTTAGTTTTTTTATTTATCATGAAGTCCATTTCGTCTGGAAATACTTGTAAGAAAAAGAAAGATTCGTAAGTCGAATCTTAGTTTTTTTTTAATATTATGGAACAGTTTGCTTACTTTGCTAACCGTTCTTATTTTTTTATAGATTTCGGGAAAACGAAAAGGAAAGGGTAAAACGAAAGGGGATGGATTTCTGAAGGATATACTTTTAGAATTTGTAAGTATTAATCTTAAATTTTTTTTTTTATTATTATGGAACGGTTTACTAACCATTCCTTTCTTTTTTTATAGGTTTCAGTGTCTTGAAAGGGCTTCTGAAGAACGGAAAACCCAAAGATTCATGTACGAATCTTTGTTTTTTCTATTTTTTTAATATTATGAACGGTATTAACCGTTCTTTTTCTTTTTTTTATAGGTTCAGTGTCTCGGGAAGGCTTTCAAAGAATGGAAAAACCCAAAAATTCACATATGAATCTTATTTGTTTTACTTTTTTTTAATATTATGAATGGTTATTAATAACCGTTCTTTTCTTCTTTTTTTAGGATTGGGTGGACTTCCGCAAGTTCTTCAGAATATTCTTGTTGTAGTTCTTCCAAACGTTTGTATATAGCAGGTTCAAAGTCGGTAGCAGTTTAAAAAATGCTAGTCACACTGGTAATCCTAACAATCCACAATGTTTGTTCTAGTAAGAAAGCGAAAGTCTCTTTGTCAAGTAACTTGAGGAAGTTTACCAGTTCTTCTAAAGTAAAGTTGTTAGCAATAGAAGCCATTTTTTATAATATAATTTTAAAAAATATCATTGCTGAAATTTCGTTAACAAATGGCCATGCAATCAGTGGAAAGAGTTCATCACTCATTATAATGAATTAAATGGAATATTTCAAGGTTTTATAGATGAAAAACAGCTAAATTTACTCCAACAACAGACTATTAATAAAGAAAATATTGGACATAATTATCAAGGAGATAATGAATCTACTATTATTTGTTCCAATCCAGTTACTTCAAGGTGGTGTGGACGTCCTTCAAATTGATATCTGAGCGAAGGTGAAGCTGCAAGACAAAGTAAGAAGCAAAAAATGACTAATTTAGGATTAGAATGTATTGCAGAAAATATTGAAACTATTAGTGGAAACAATAAAAAACAAAGAAAATGTAAAGGGTGTCAAGGTATAGGTCATGATTTGCGAAATTGTAAAAGTAAAGCTCTTGGTGAAAGAAATTAGTTGTATTAAGTCTTAATAGAATTTTAATTATAATTTACTGTATTTCGACTTTAATAATAAATTAATTGTATAACTGCGTTAAAATCATGTGATCTATTATATCAGTGAAATCACCTGCGGTAATTAGAAATTTTTTTAATTAAATAAAACTATGAAATATATGTTATTTTTAACTAATTTATTTCTGTCATATTTCAATATTATACTTTTTGATATGACTAGATTAAAATACAATAACTTTTAAATTTTAACCAAAAAATTCTTTTTACCTTGATTTTTCTGGATCAGTCCCCTTATTATTTAGTTTAAGGATTATTTTGTACAAATGTGGCATTACATTTGACCTAAAATTTTCTATTTTAAAGTTTGCATTGCTCGATTAATCTCTCTGTATCTATATACAACTCTTGAAAAAATATGGAAATAAGAGAAATAACAATGCGTTAATGTTTTTTTGCGGGTCAAGAAAAGAACATTTTTATCACACATAATCATGCATATTTTGACCGGGTCAAGAAAGTAATGTCAAGAACGTAATTTTTGCACCTGAGATGGCGGCTAATAAATCAACTAAACAATCATAATTTTTCTATGGAATGCTACAAATTTTGAAAGATTTAACGTTATTGTCATCTTGGTCGGTTGTCTCATATTAAATCTATGTACGCATAACAATAATAATAAAAAACTATTGGATAAATACATTAGTTGTACCAACATATATTAAAAAGTATATAGAGCCATTGAATTTAATTAATACGCTCATTAATCATACTAACAAAAATTAAAAATCTCGTTTCTTTTTATTTAACCCATTATCTTGCTTTTGATCAGAATATCTTTTTACAGATTTTGATAACTTTAGCTTATTTCCATTAGTCCATTCAAAAAATTTACACCGACTTTCTTGAGAGTTTCCGACGGGTCTGTTTAAGAAGAAAACAATTAATTTATTTAATAATATATATTGAATCAGAAAACTTTGTTATTTATTACCTTGAACACAAGTAGAATCGTCTTCCCTGATTTATCCCTGGTTTGTTGACTGTATATTCCTTACATGGCTCTCCATGTCCAATACAATTTGGAATAGGCCGTGGTTTAAACAAAGCGTTCCATTGAGATTGTATATCACTTTTATTATTGCTGGAAGAAACTTCTATGCACTCATCTTCAACATTATTAATAATATCATCTAAAGATTCTTCAAAAGAATTTGAAGAATCTGATATATTTTCTGAAATAGTACTCTTTTCTTGTAAACCTTGAGAGTCTTTCAGTTCTATCGATTTTGTTACTTCCTCTAACTTTTTTTCTGGTGGTGTATCTTGAGAAGCTTTTTTGAACAATGATATTAAAGATACTTGATTGGTTGGATATGATAATTTTGACTTTGCCTGTGCTTTGCTACTTTTTTCCTTAATAAGTTTGGAAGAATTAGCTTTAGCTTTTTGAACTTTAATAACCGAAGCTTGGCCTGACTTCCTTTTAATTTCCGATTGCTCTTTTAAACCTTCAGAGATGTCAATTGATGAATCTGTTGGTATTGTATTACTAGTTAAAGTTTCAGGAATATTTTCAACAATGTTATCATTACTTGTCTTTACTGATTTCCTTTCCTGTGCCTCTTTTTCTTTTATCTCCTGTTTGATAAAAAAGCTTTTCAATGTTTGTTGCTTCCCAGAAAACCTTACCAAATTTTTTGCACAGAGCTTAGGTGTTAGGGTCATTAAAGTATTTTCCTTAAGTAAGGAAAGTTTATTATCTCCTTCATATATTTCATCAAACAATTCACAAGAGACAGGACAATGATCTGACCCCATAATGTCTTGTTCTACATTGCATGACTTGAACCATTTAGTTAAGCCTTCACTAACAAGTATATAATCTAAACGTGTTCCTAAATACAATAAAGAGAAAAAATAAGCATTAACTGTCATTAAATTTTTTTTAAAAAAAAGTTTTCACATTACCATAATTTATTGGCCTGGTATTAGTTTTAAAAATATTAAAAATATTATTAGTGAGTTTCTATTGAAAGAAGAGTCGTAATAATTATTATGAAATATTGCATCACCTTGCATTGATTAATGTATTCCAGCCTATTAACGAATAGAAATATACTTTTACGTATATCCAATAATAATAATAATATACATTAATAATTTATAGTAATAAAACAACTTACATGTAAATAATCCTTCTTCATCCGGATGAAACTTCCTACACAAATCAATCATTGGCCCGTTCGGTGAAATCCAACTGTCAAGCCATTTTCTTGCCGGATGGTCACCAAAAGATTTTAAACCATGTTCCTTAATTGATTTTTGAGGATCACAATGATCAATTACTCGATGTGTTACATTCAAATCTCCAACAATTATAACTTCTCTCCCAGAATCAAGTAGAGCTTCTGCACGTCTTTGTAGAATATTATAGAATCTTAGTTTGTAAGGAAGTCGCCCTTGGGATGATTCGTGTACACAGTAGACATTGAACAATACAAATATCCCAAAATCAAGGATAACACATCGACCTTCTGAATCTATTTCCAACAATTCTTCAGTTGTAAATTCACTAATAATACTGGGTCCGATTCCTGCCGTCGTTACATCTTTCGATTTAGCATTCGCTGGTACTTCGTTTAGAATACCGGAGATTCCTTCCTCAGCTGCAATAGGTCTTATGACACTTGTCTTTACATAGATGACGACCCCAGCATATCCACCTTTTCCTCTCGAAGAAGAAAAATAAGCATCATATCCTGGTACTATTGCCAATGAAGAATCTAACTTATCTAAAGTAATTTTTGTTTCTTGAAAACAAATTATATCAGCGTTGAGCGTATCCAGTACTTGCTAAAATAAATTATGGCTTTAAAAAAAATTTAAAATATAAAAGTTATGGTATTTAAAAATTAACCTTATAATCCTTATGCTTGCTCCATCTATACTTTATGAAAGCATTTCGAAAATCAGTTTGAAACACGTATTCACTCAGAAAGAACAATTGACCATTGGAATTTTTCAATGACTTACGGATAATAGTTTGTAATTGACCTTATCCCATTAACATTCCACGTTATTATACGCATACTTTATGGAATATTAAGTGAAATTGTAGTTGATCTCACTAATATTGACTCGAAAAATAAAATATATATATAAATATTTTTCTACGAAAGTCCGAATTTAGACGCGTATCATTTTAAAAGTGATTCAGGTCTATATTCTCTACTATATTCTGTACAACCAAATTGTTCATATACAGACAGTATCAGTCATTTTTTTTTTTATATTTTAAATTTATTTTGCTATTCGAAAGGAGTATATATTATCAAATTTTTATTTTAAAAAGTATGCATTTATAATAAAAATAAATAAGTTAGAATATGCACAAGTGATTTATTAATGATTTATTAATTCTTTCATACTTGCACAATTTTACAATTTTAAAAATTCACTGTTTTTATTTTTATTTTTTATTATTAGTTTTAAAGAAATATATATAAGTGATGTTTGATTTCCAAAATACCTGTATTCTTTTTAAAGAATTTGATATTTAACAATATATTTATTGACAAGTAATATATGCTATCTAAAAATTGTTGTGGTATTAAAGTAACATAATAATTATATTAGAAATATAGAGAAGTATTTGCCATAACTAATAATATGATTTAAATAAAGAGGTATTCATACGACGAAGTTACGTCACTTACGTGTATACGTGTATGATTAATTTATTAGAAAATTAGAAAATAAAAATTTTAGGATTATATACATTATACTGCATAATTATAGTAAAAAATTTGAAACAACAAATCAACATCTGATTAATTACCGAACGAACTAACCTTAACTTTTTAGACCATAGTAAAAAGTATCATTAAGACTTAATTACTGTTCCTTTAAAAAATTCGTTAAGAGTCTTAGTATCATACTTTTTTATTTCTTCTGCTAGCGTGAGGGCTTGTTTTCCGTTGACATAAATACAAGTTTTTTTTTTTTTTTACAAGTATTTATTAAAAAACTCATAAATTCTCTTCCAAGCTAAACTTTTAATTTCATCATTATCACCACCGACAAAACCAAGTTCTTTGCGCATTTTTAATGCCCATTCTTCATCATTCAAAAATGCGTGACCTTGTCCGTCATATCTATAAATTGCAATTTCTTTTCCTGGCTCATCAAATCTTTCTATTCCTTCTTCAAGTTGTCTTTCAAGAGAATTAGCTAAATAGAAAAAAATAAAAATATCAAAAATTATACAGCTATAAAAAAAAAAGTTTCTTGCATGATTGCATGATTGCATACCAGCATTTAGATCACTAAACCCAGTCATATTATCTTCCTTTCCAAAATGACCCTAGATATTAAGTCCATTATTATAATTTCTAAAAATTATCTTTTCATAAGTTTATGTTTGAAACCACGAACCTGCACGGGAGTTGTTACAGCAATAACAGACAAATCACAAATTGTCGGAGATGGAATACCATAACAAGTAACAGCCGCGCTCAAAGGTTTCTTTGGCTTCAAATGTGATGCAAGAGCAAGACTCATAGCACCTAATATTCAAATTCAAAAATTTTTTCTAAATGAAAAAAAAAAAAATAACTCTCATTTTTAGATAAATAATTAATCTCACCTCCCATACAAAATCCGATGGATCCAATTTTTCTGAAATAAATCATCACTCACGTGGTTATTAAAATTCTCAATAATTATTTTTGATAATCATATCTAAAACCTACTCTCGATTTTCTTTATTCAAAGAGTCAACAAGTGACTCTAACTCCACTAACGCATGTTTCCAATCCAAATTCTTTTTATGCATATTAAATGAAATAAAATGTTATATTGACTCTATTGAAGACAAATACGTTTTGTATATGATTAAAAGATTCTTACAGTCATTAGATGACTCGCTTCCTAATAAAATTTAGAAACAAAAAATTTAAAACAAATCACGTTTTTTTTAAAAAAAATATTTCATTAATATGCTTACCTCTTGAGATAAGCCAAGTTTACCTTTGTAAAGATCGGGAACAACAGTCAATGTATTTGTATTATCAGCAATACGTTGAGCATGAATTTTGATTTGTTCATTAATCCCCCACCTATTTAATTAATATAAATTCTTCGCGTATTATTCGCATTATTGCACATTTCAACACTTTTCACAATATTTACCAATTTACTTTTTATTTTATTACAATAAAGAACATAAATAAACTTACCATTCTTGTAAGACTAATATAGCAGAATTCTTTTTCTCTTGTCCATTTTTTGGTAAAAATCTTAAAGTTTTAAAAGGTAATCCTTCACTAACTTCGCTTTCAGGCTTAGTACTCATTTTTCTTGTAATTGGATAATTGTATTCAACTTTTAAAAAATTATTTTCAATACAATTTTTAAAGAATTTATTGTGTAATTTATTAATTTGATGAAAGGTATGGATTTTCTTTTGTTGAAAATAAATGGGTAGTTTAAAATTTAACTTTATAATATTAGAAAAAATAATTGGACTCATCTGTAATAAATAAATAATTTTTTTTAAAAAAGTTGTACAAAACTTTCCAAACTCGTAAATATTACGATATTTTTTAAAAAAGAAAAAAAGATTTTGTTTGCAATCAAAGATTTTTTTATGCGTGACATGTTTTAATTAGGAAAATCTAAACCTTTCCTTTTACAGTATTTACATACAGTGTATAAAAAAAATAGTTTTCGATTATAGTAATTTTTTTCTTTTTTTTGAGTTTATTTTTATATAATCATTTTTTTTTCTATTTTGTAAAGAATTCCCTAATCAATAATAAAAGAATTTTTTTTTAAAAATCTTATGAATATCTATCAATACATAATATAATAAAAAAAATTGTCTTCAAAAATAAAAGTAACGAGAAAATTAAAACGGATTGAAATTCATTCGNACTTAGATATAAGCAAAAAAAGAAATATTTACGAATCATTATTAGGAATAAAAAAAGAGAAATACTTTTTAAAATTAAAAAAAAAAAAACCTTTGATTATTGCAATCATACCTTCTTGTCTTTTTCTTAAAGCAAAAGAAAAAAAAAGAAAAAAAAAAGATCAATTATAATCAAAGATAAAAAAAAAAAATTTAAAAGGGGAAGGGGGAAATTTTTGTACAAATGCGCTTATTTCAGAGAATATATATTACACCAATTCAATCTATTACTATATAGTAATAATACATAGCAATAAAATGAATCAAAATAGTTTGTGGAAAAAGAAACAAAATCCATCGTGTATTGTACACAACAGACCCCAATATGATTTATGAGAATGTAAAAAAACTAAACACAAATGTTCATTAAAGTGAATTAAATCCGCAATGATTAGAATATATAAAAGAAATGGGAATTATTAAATTTATGCAAATTAAATTGCGTGGTTTCTTGTTATAATTGCTCGGTTATTTTCCCTTAACATCAAAAAAAAAAGCTTGGAAAATTAAAAGCCATATTTGATTAAAAAAAGACAAATGTGTTACTATTAGTCAAGCTAATAGAATTCAACACATATTATTCTTTAATCACTGACAACTCTTGATAATAAAATATTATAAAAATTGATCAGTTTAAGGCTTTCTAAATTCAGTTAATACAGGATAGATGGATTCAAAAGCATCATAAATTTCCTGTCGTACCTATAAAGTGTAACAGAAAATCATTTAAAATTAATTAACAGCGCCGTTTATACATGTTCGATAAAATTTTTATATCTACTTACTTTAGCACCAGTTAATACAATTTTTCCGGACACAAAGATTAAAAGTACAATCTTAGGCTTAACCATACGATAAATAAGACCTGGGAATAATTCTGGTTCATACTAAAAAAAAGACAGAGAAAATATTAAGAACAAAAATACTCATGCTATTTATATTAAAAAATTTGTTAAATTCTTTTCTTTTGCAATACTTACACTGCTGAAATGTCCGTGAGAATAAGCTAAACCTTCCAAACGAATAGGGAATTTAACATCACAAGATCCGACAATGTTTTGAATCTTGAAATCGGTAAATTTAGCAGCAAAGCCGAGTTTCTGAATGATACGAGCGTATTTTCTGCTTGCAAGTTTGGAGTCATCTTCAGATTTAGCACCGGTGACGACCATCTTGCCAGAAGCAAAGATCAGGGCCGTCGTTTTAGGTTCACGGATACGCATGATAACAGCAGCGAAACGCTAATAACATGGGTGGTTGTATCATTGTTTAGCATAAATATTCTTGATATAATTTTATATACCACAGTTGACTATGCTACTAACGCATGGAATGCGGTAGTACCTTTGGATTATACTCCGCGTTTCTGGCATGAAGTGCAATTGTTTTGAGGTCAAGTCTACAGTCAAGGTTGACAGTGGCGACGATGTTTCTAAAAACAAGGATCACGTGAAAATGTTTCACAAATGGAGCACAAGATATAAAGATAGAGAAAATCAATATAAATATAGACGAATTTTGGATTTTGGCTTGTTTTTTCGTTCTTACAACTCTTTCCACTTTTACGTTTAAAGAAAATTCATTATTTTTTTTTTTTGAAAAAAAAGGCGCTTTTATCTTCTTACCGGTAATTTTTTTTTTTTTTANAAAAAAAAAAAAAAAATAGTTCTTTTCAGCTTTCACACTGAAAAACCATGAACCATCGACTGAAAATACTTACTGCAACGTAGGAACCATTCCAGCAACGCTTTGTGGTTGTGACTGGTTTGTTTGATCAGCGACACTACTGTTTTGTTCGTCAACCATCATGTTAGAGCCAGGATACGTTAACGCTCCATTTCCGATTGGAGTCGTTGGTACGGCAACAGGATGTACTTGAACAAAAGCAGCAGGTGCTGAATATTGAGTGTTGGGAAGGATAGCTTGATGGTTCATGACGAGATTTCAGAAGTAAATAAAAATTTCGTTTTGGTAAAAAGGTTGTATAAAAAAACTTTATTTTTTTTTTGTTTCGTTCGTTCTTTTTTTTCTTTCGTTTCTTTTCAAAATAGAAAGGAAAAAGTTACAATAAAAGAAAAATATTTCAATGAAAAGGGAAAAAACGAGGCAATCAGTTATAGTGAACAAAAAGTATTGAGCTAATCCTCACTGAAGAGTTTAGGACAAAAGGTCGTAAAGACGTATAGAATAAAAAAAATAATTTTGTTTATAAGGGTTTGTCCTATTTATGCTTTTTTCTGTATTTGTAATTAAGATGACGTAATAGTTTGACGTCAGTCTCGTCCAAAAAAAAAAGATCACAGGACCGAATGATTAGAAGAAAAACTAAAATATGATAACCTACTATCGTCAAGGAAAAAAAAAAAAAAATAAAAAACAGTTGGATTGATATGATTGGATAATGGATAATGATTGGTGATTTTTTTGAAAAAAAAAAAAAAAATTTTTTTTAATTTCTAAGAAAAAAATTTTTTTTTTAAAGGACGAGGCCGTTAGTCGGAAATTCGGGGAGCAAGTGGGGTTTGAGGGATATTTATACAGTTTTTGAAAATAGCCGAGTCATTATTAATAATTTCATAAATAATTTCACGGGATTAAGTATACTACTCGCGATCATATTCCATAAAAAGTAGGTTTATTGGTTCAACAAACCAGACACAGCCATGCGGAATTGTAGACAAACAAGACAGCAATAAAAGAAACACAAGCAATAAAATAAATATATATGTTATGTACTTTAAAAAGGATTCATATTGTTGTATATCATCACCATCATAATACATAAATAAATATTACAATATTATATTTTGTATATATATAATATACTTACCGTGTATTGATTGACAATCAGTCATAATAAACTGTTGTATATTGCTTTATTTTCGGAGTGAATTTTACACTTGAAACATATAAATTCCAACTAACTAATTAAAGACTAGAAGAAGAGCTACACAAAAATGGACATAAATTAAAATAAATACTTTTTTTTTCAATGTATAAAAATAAAAAAAAAAAAAACTAATACGAAAAAAAAAAAAAAAAAAAAAACTAATACGAAAAAAGAAAAAAAAAAAAAAATTTTTTTTGGGGGGCTTTTTTTTTTCATTTTTCTCATTTGTCGCTTTTAAATATTATATATACGGAATAAATCAATAATCTCGATAACGTTTCACTCACAAAATAAAAAATCAGAATTGATCAAGTATAGGTACAAAACTTGCTTATCGTCTCATTACTGATGAATGGGTCCCTTATTATAATTATGATAATATATCGGGTCTTTGTTGGGCTGGTCTCCATACATTACTTTTTGGCGAAAAAAAAAACGCGGGCTGAGTGAAAAGAAGTCGTAAAGGCGGCTTTTAACCTTTCAAGGTGATAGTAAAAAGCGAAAATTTTACTAGGACAATAAAAAAAAAAAAAGTTTTTATTGTTTATGCGCAGTAAACAGGAACTAAGAGAACTCCTTTCAAACTGAGAGTAATAACTTCTTCAACTACTGCGGTTGGTTACGGAATTTTGTCGAAAAACTCCGCACTTGAATTCTCATCATCTTTCTTTGTAACAGGAAACCTTTACTTTGTTTAATAAATAATAAAAAGTTGTTTCTAATAACATATTGGTTTCTTTGTAAAGTTTTAAACGTAATAAGGAAAAGGTTAAGAAATTAGCAACTGAAACATATTTGAAAAGACTTCTTTTTTGCTTGTTCAAAAGAAAAAAAAAAAAAAAAAAAAAAAAAGAACAGAACACAAAAAGCAACACAGAAACAACACTCAACGGGGTAAAAAGCAAATCATTATTTGAACATACCTTTTTGTGACTTATTTTTTTATAATTTGTTGCATATAATTTAACTGTTTACAGCCCAATGTTACAGTGTCATGTGGGTTATTTGTTATCTTATTTACAAAATATTAGTAAATGAAAGAAAAGAATTTAGGAATCGTTACAAAAAATCTAATTTTACCTATTTAATTGAAACTAATAATCTCGGGGTACCCCGGCAATCATATTCCGATTCAAATGGTGTTAATGGTGTTCCTTTTATAGTATAATAAAATGTTGTGTAAGTATTTATATACATGTTTCGAGTAAGTGTGATTTATTGATTGGTTTTCATTATCTGCAATGACAAATTCTTATTTACAACAATTAGAAGCAGAAACCCCTTTGTCACTCTTACTAACCTTTTAACGGAATTTAAATGAATATCATATTATCATTGAATCTCCTAGACCTTCTAGCCCCCTACTAAAAGCTATACGCCACGTTTTACACTAAAAAGGGGACTAAAGATGGCGTGCAAAATACAAAGGCGTCTATATTCCCGTTTTTTTCCGATCAGTTTAGTAGTTTAACAGGTAGTTACATAAAACTTAATACAGATGTAAATGTACCTAGAAAGACGCTCATAGATCAAAAAAATTGTAAACTTGTAAAGTTTATTGAAAGTGAGGGTGAATTATTTTTAAAAAAACGTGTAAAATTGATTAAATAAAGGATAAAGTAATGACGAAATTTACTTTAACGGTTTACCTTAGAAGAGTTTGTTTTAAATTCTTGTATCTCTTTGATAACTCTATCTTTTTTTTCTTTTTTTACTTTGACAAGAAGGTAAAAATTTTTTTTTTTTTTTAAGAAAGTTGGAAGAAAAAAAGAGAGTAAGGAACAAAATGAAAATGTGTAGAAATACAAGAAATACAAGAACTTTGGCTGATAAACTACTAATTTAACTAATTTATAGTGTGCAACCGCCAATTTTTGTACAAGTACATTTTTTTATATAAATTACAGAGGTATTTTCAATCATATATACCTTAGTTTTAAGTGGTCCAGTGATTAGATTTCAATAAAATTAAGCTCATTAGATTCGTCTCAATGAGAGGAATTTAATAGTATTTATTTTATCATAAATGAATCAATATTGACAGAGTTAGCATTTGAAGTAACTTTATTAAATATATGGTATTTAAAATTTTAAGTACAATGATTTTTACGTACATTTCACATGATAAACACATGACTATAAATAAATTACGCAGTATCTTTTGATGTATTATAAAAAAAGCCTTTTTTTTCAAATAATTATGGTTATAGTACATACATAAATAAAATTATCAAATTGTCTTTCTATTAAAAAAAAAGAAAAAAGTTTTGAATTTATAATAATAATTGTAATTATAATTTAAGAAATTACCCTGTCTCCTTGACATAATTACCTACGTGTTATATTTTAAAATAAAAATAAATAAATATAACAAATTACCAATAAATGCAATAATTAAATTAAGTAAAGAATAAAAAACTTACCAGGGAATTCGCCTACAGTATTATTAACTCTTCCAACCCACCAATCATTTGGCCCATCACCTCTCTCTAAAACTTCAATCTTATCACCTTTCCTAAAACTTAAATCATTTTCCTCTTTTCCTTCGAAATCGAACATTGCAGTGACATAACCACATGCAACAGGTATAACAGTGGTTGGAACAGCAAATCGATTTGGTGAAGAATCACATGACATTTCTGCATTTTTTGTTGCTGTATGAGATCTCATAGTACTTTTAGAAATGGCACCGGCATCTTTGGAATTAAGAATATATTTTCTTCGGTACCAAACAAAGCAACTTACTACTAATAAAAGTAATCCTCCAAGAACTGCACCGACGATGACCCCAGCATTGGCTTTATGATTATCTAAAGGGTTTTTATCATCAGCATTAGTTGAATCAGTAGGATTTAAAGGAGAAGTTCCTTTACCTGGATTATTCTTAGTAGGAGGTAAATCAACTGGGGAGGATGGTAATTGATTACCGCGTATATAATTTAATAAACTATTTTTATCATCATCATAACTAATATCAGATATTGAAACTCCTCCCACTGCTAACAATTTAGCATATAATGAACTAAAATCTTCATAAGATACATAAAAAATACTAAAATCTACATTAGAATTATAAGGATTATTATTATAAAGCCATGGAACAGAATTTGTTTGATCAAATTTACGCGTCCAATTATTTTTTGTATTACAGGAACCATAGGAACCATTAGTTTGTGAATAATCAAGAGCATAAGCTGACAAATTCTTCCATGGCCATGAATATAATGCAGCGTTGGCTTGGATATTACAAAGATTTTTGATCTGAATTAATTGACCTCTAATTTCTTGTGGTATATCGTAAGGAACATATTTATATTCAACAGTCTGACTATCCATAATAGTTTTGTTAGTTACAACTTGAAAAGTATTCCCAAAATCTATCCCCATGATTATTTTTTCTTTGTTTTCTTTGCTAATTCTGAGACTCCAGATATCATATGCTTGTTTAAACCTTCCGTATGGAGAATTTGGATTTGTTGTAACATCATTTCCTACCGTGTTGAATTGGTTTGGGCTTGCATATAAACTAAAATGATATGTTTCAATATTAAGTAAATCAACAATTTTATCATCAACCAGACTTATGATCTCTTCGCTAGGAGTAGGAGTGCTACCAACTGTTAACATTATTATTATTTTGTTCTGCAATTTAGTTTTCATATTCCTTATAAAAGCTCCAAAATCTGCGTCATTAACAGGTTTTTGATTACATGGAAATCCTCTCATTCCAGGATATTCAATATCCACCCCATCAAAGTTATTTTTTGTTATAAATTCACTTATATAGTCAAGAGCATCATAAAAATCTTTATCTTCCTTCCATGTTAAACGGTCATAATTTCTTATTGAAAGAAGAATCTATTACAATAGAATAAACGTTAATGATTTAATTATTCATAATTATCAATTATATATTCTTATAATACATACTTTTACATTTTTTCCATTTGCATTTTTGGCGGCAATCAAAGCAGTATACTTCTCTTTATTTTTTTCGGGATTATTATAATCACTCACTATATTTCAAAATACAATTTGAGTAAAAAAAAAAATAAACTTTTGTACGAAATGAAGCATCTTTTTTCCCCTTACCAATAAAATTTATATGACTATATAAATCCCATTGAATTGAATTAGGATCTATACTAGGTTGAACATAACCTATTACTGGTCTATTAGTAAAATTTAAGGCACTCGGTTTACACCCATTATCCATTAAAGTGACTTGCGATGACACTATTGCTGCTATTGACAACAAGCTATAAAAGACAAAAACTACAAACTTATTGAAAGGTGGAGGGTATATTTTACGCATATTTATTATAAATAAAATTTTACGCTTCTTTCCCTCCCTTTTAAGTAACTTATATAATACTTTTTTTGTTTTTTGATATTTATAATTATATGAAACGTTAAATGAAACACCTCACGAAAATTGTCGAGGTAAAAACAGAATAAATACAAAATTTCATAGAACAAAATACTCAGTAATACTATTTTTCTTTATTATAATAAATTAAATGAAACGGTCAAACTTTTTTTTTCTTTAAAAGAAAAATTTTCGGTAGTGACGAAATGACCTTCTTCTCCGAGCCACCAAGAAAAAAAGAGTACACTACAGTAAGAAGAAGAATACTCCTTGCATCTTATACACATCTAGATGTGTATAAGAGACAGGAAGAATACTCCTTGCATGAATTATATTTTATAAAAAAAAAAACTGGAGACGAACATGCTATACAAATTCTATGTTTGGCATCGTTAAACCGGTCATCTAGATGTGTATAAGAGACAGGTAAGAAGAAGAATACTCCTTGCATGAATTATATTTTATAAAAAAAAAAACTGGAGACGAACATGCTATACAAATTCTATGTTTGGCATCGTTAAACCGGTCTAAACTGTTTATAGCTGGCCCGTTTTATTTCATGTCACAAATATTTAAAAAAGATACTTAACCGCAGCATTTAGAATATGGAATTTCTAAAATTGGATAAAATTATTTTATTCTTGTTTCATTAAAGTTCTTATAGTTTGTTTCACAAATTCATTCTTGTTTGATTTTCAGATATCCATTGGCCATTAGCGGAGCAATCAACTTATAAACTCCGTTATTATCAATGTCACAATATCAAAAATAACCATTCTAATTATTCTAATTATAACTTACCTGTTACTATGATTTATTATTAGCGCATCAGTGATTGTCTGATTGTCAGATGAATCTTATGAATCTTGTGATCATTGTACGGAAAACACAAATATATTATTAGAAAGCCTAATACAATTTTAAATATAGAGTTTATTAATAAGGCATATATAATATAAATTAGGACGAAATTTATGGTTCTTTAATTCCGGCCAAAATTAATTATCCCGAAATGAAAAAAATCAGGTGATATTTGGTGTTGAATTATTAATATTAACGGACCAATTAAAAACTTGTTTATTCGCTTTGATATTTTTAAAAACCTTACGTCATACGCGTGCGATCAACAAGTACAAAACTTCTGATTTTTGTAAAAAAAACTATGAACGCAACTAATTTTAATAACGAAAAGTTTGAATATATGGAAGATGTTAGTTGGGTCATGTCGGTAGCGTCAAGTGCTCAATCGCCACAAACAAAAAATTATTTAGCTAAAAAGAGCGGTGGATACAAGTAATTATTATAAATTTGAAGTGGTTTATCATACTTATCATATTATCATATTAACGCGTTTATAACAATATATATCTCGTCTATTAGAAAAGTGCGTTCGTACCAACAGTGTCAAAGCCTTTCAAATTTTATACTGAATCGCGGGTCAATAACTCTCATAATAAAGAAATTCCCCAAACCCACCATTTATTCCTTTAGCTCTCAGTGTACAACAATTTTTAGAAAATCCAACCAGATTCGATGCTAAGGTATCAGATGATAATATGTTTCAAAAATCAACATCGTGATATTGAAGCTAACAATCGCAATTTTTCCTAAGTCCGGTAAAGTACGTTCAAATACCTTAACTGTACCGAAATCTCCACACTTGCGCACTAAACCCACTACAAGCCGGGTAATTAATTATTAATCACCACCACATGTCATCAAAGCTAATCCCGTACCCGATTATAAAGAACCATATAGACCGGTGATTGAACACCGGTTAATCGAATTACCAATGTTTAGTTTACCTGGTGAGGAAATTTCCAAGAGAAAATCACAAGAAATTGAATAAAGGATTCGTCAAGAAAAAGAGAAAATGGAAAAAATGCGTGAATTTAAAGCGCAACCACTTCATACTGGTTCTCCTGATGTATGTAACCATTAAATGTATTGTACGTACAAGAATAAAGATAAATAAATAATTGTTCTCTTTTGTTTTAATGTTCCAAGTGTCTGCCTACACGCCCTTATTATCCACCAACTCACCCAAAACCATTTGCATTGTTAACTAATGATCGTGGAGAAAAATATCAAAGAGAATTTTATGAGAAAGTGAGAAAAGAGCAGGAATATTACAAAGAAAATCGATTCCATGCACAACCTCTCCCCAATTTTGAGCCCGAAATTCCTAGAAAACCTTAATGTCCTCCACCAACAGAACCAATTGGTTTTTTCTTTTTCACTGATACTCGTATGGAAGAACGTCATATTTATGACGAACACAGAAGATTTCGAGAGAAGGAAGCTTAGGAACAAAGAATAGCAAAGATCAGGGAGGAAGAAGTAAGATATAAGAACTAATTCATGTTATCGATCTTTTTTTTGATATTTAACTTTTTATGCATTTATGTTAATTAAAGGTACGCAGTGCGCAGATTTAGTTCATCACGCTCAACCTATACGATATTATACACCGATAAATATACAACCATCGGATAAAAAAACCGACAAAACCAATTTCTCCCATGATCGGTGAAAAACTACTTAAATACATGATCTAATATGGCACAGCCCAATTGATCTAGATTGCTTATAAAAAGCCGATCATCCGACCCGTGTGGCGAAGTAAATTAAAAATTAAACAGGATAATTAGGAATTAAGACTATCTTTTTTTGAATTCTTCCGAATATATTACAAAACACTGCTTATTTCATTATTTCTTTATATATATATATACATATATATTTGCGTCTATAACAAAAAAAAGGATGCTTAATAATGGGAAAATACAGTAATTTCTTTCTGCAATTCCTTTCTTCTAATAAAATGTAATATTATACATTTTTATATACTTCTCTAATTTCTATTAAGTATTATACCAATTAAAGATAACTATTAATAAAACCATAAAGAAATCAATAATTTAATGTACTCGCGTGACTACAAAATGATATAAAAGACTTGACCATCCGCCCGACCGGCAGATGCGTACATTAAATAAGACAAACGTAACTAATGTGCAATTATAAAAACTAAACAAAGAAAAAAATTTAAAGAAAAAAGGGCTTTGTCCACATAAATATTCCTTCCTACGACTGATTCGCATAATGTCGTTTATATTTTTTATAATTAATTCTGATAAACAAATTAGTTAATTATTTATAGTGTTAACTGACAACCCATTAATAGTATAATGTACATTTACCCATTCAAATCATGTGCGCATTCTGCAAAATCGTCTAGTTGGCACGTGATGATCTACATTAGTAATATAAATTCTGGGGCAAGATTTGATATAATGCTAGTCAAATTTAGATTAATGCTAGGGTCTAATGTCCAAATTCGTATTTATCAAGTGATAAAAAATTTTAAATTTCAACTTCGTTAAAAATAAAAGAAAAGAAAAATGGATTTACGTTCTTGGGTTTCCGACAATGTGATGAAGTTACTTGGAATGTCCGAAAGGATCTTTGTAGATTATATTATTGCTGAAGCTCAATCTTGTAATACTCGGGAATCTTTACGAGAAAAGCTAACTGAGTTACCACAAACAGCGGAAGCTCAACGTTTTATTGATAATCTGTTTGATCGAGTACCGAGAAAAAAGTCTCAAAAAGATGAAACTTATTTAAAAAGGAAAAGAGAAGAACAAGAAGCAAAAGAAGCTTTGGCAAAGTCAAAATCATATAAGTTGATTCTTGACGATTTTAGCGTTGAGGAACCATATTCAAAAAAATCTAAAAAATCTAAAAAGGATAAAAGTTTACGTAAAAAAGAAAAATTAGATACGTGGGAAAGTGATCAAGATGACAGAAAGTCTAAAAGTTCGTCGTCAAAGGAAAAGTCAAAGTATTCTGAATCTGAAGATGAATACGAAAAAGAAGAGAAAGAAAAAATTAAAGATTTGAAAGAAAGAGATGAATTTGCTAAAAGATTAAGACAAAAGGACAAAGAGAAGACCAAAAATCTTGTTGAAGACAGATCGTCTAAAGCAGAAAGTGAAACTACTAAAAGACGTAATCTCGCCGATGATGCAGAAGCTCGTAAGAAGGTTTTACCAGATATTCGTGAGCGGTCTCGTCAAGAATATTTAAGGGATCGTACCGATAAACAAATGAAAATGTTAGAACTGGGAATTCTTGATGAAGATACTTTGTTCAAAGATGAAAAACTTACTAAAAAAGAGAAAAAAGAACTTGAATTGAAAAAAGAAACTCTGAGATTAACAAAAGAAAGATTAAGTCTTTCTGGAAAAACTGATGATTATGCTATGCCGGAAGATTATATCACAGAGAAAGGAAAAATAGATAAGAAAAAAAAGGAGTCGGTTCTTTATCAACGTTATGAAGAAGATCGCGATCAGCATAGGTTTGTTACAGATCAGGACCAATGGGAACAAAATCAGATCGTAAAATCACAATTAAAAGTCGGAGCTCAAGATAGAATTAAGCAAGAGGAACAATATGAATATGTTTTTGACGATCAATCTATAGAATTTTTAAATTGGGATTGGAAATCAAATAGTCAAGATGATGAAATAATGGCCAAAATTGATGAAGCTGAAAAGAAAGCAAAGACTATTGAAGAAACTCGTAAATCTTTGCCAATTTATGCATTTCGTGATGAGTTACTTAATGCTATAGAAGAATTTCAAGTTTTAGTAATTGTAGGAGAGACAGGCTCTGGTAAAACCACTCAATTACCACAATATTTGTATGAATCAGGATATACCAAGGGCGGTAAAAAAGTTGGTTGTACACAACCTAGAAGAGTTGCTGCTATGAGTGTAGCGGCTCGTGTATCGGAGGAAATGGGTGTTAAACTTGGATATGAGGTTGGTTATTCAATTCGATTTGAAGATTGTACATCTGATAAGACTATAATTAAGTATATGACAGATGGTATGTTACTTCGTGAATTTTTGACTGAACCTTTATTGGATGGATATAACTGTCTTATTATAGATGAAGCTCACGAGAGAACTTTACATACTGATGTTCTCTTTGGATTAGTTAAAGATATTGCTCGTAGTAGGCCTGATCTAAAACTTTTAATTTCTAGTGCTACATTAGATGCTCAGAAATTCGCAGATTATTTTGATGGAGCTCCGATCTTTTCAATTCCAGGAAAGCCTTATCCGGTCCAAATTTGTTATACAAAATCTCCTGAAGCAAATTATATTGGAGCTGCCGTAACAACTGTGATGCAATTACATATAACTCAGCAAAAAGGCGATATATTGGTCTTCTTAACGGGCCAAGAAGAAATCGAGACTGTACAAGAAAGTTTACAACAAGCTTGTAGGGTTTTAGGTAGCAAAATAAGAGAACTTATAATATGTCCAATTTATGCTAACCTTCCTCCCGATATGCAAGGAAAAATATTTGAACCAACACCGCCTGGTGCTCGAAAAGTGATATTAGCTACAAACATAGCAGAAACATCTATTACTATTGATGGTGTCTCATTTGTTATTGATCCAGGATTTGTAAAGCAAAACTTCTATAGTGCAAAAACACGTTTGGAAACATTAGAGGTTGTTACATGTTCAAGAGCTTCAGCAACACAGCGCGCAGGAAGAGCTGGTCGTGTCGGACCAGGACATTGTTTCAGGTTGTATACAAAACATGCATATGCAAATGAAATGGAAGAGAATAACGTTCCCGAAATTAAAAGGACTAATTTAGGGAATGTAGTATTAACACTAAAGAGTATTGGTATTCGTGATGTCATGAGTTTCGAATTTATGGATCCTCCTCACGAACAAGCTCTTATTTCAGCTCTTAAAGATTTATCAGATCTTGGTGCTTTAAATAATGAAGGAGAATTAACAAAATTGGGAAGAAGAATGGCAGAATATCCTTTAGATCCTATGTTATCCAAAACTATTATAAATTCAGAAAAATATCATTGTTCTGAAGATGTCATATCAATTATTAGTATGCTTAATGTTCAAAGTTCAGTTTTTTATCGTCCAAAGGATAAAAAATTTCATGCTGATAAAGCGCGTCAAAACTTTACAAAGCCCGGTGGAGATCATCTCACCTTATTAAATGTTTGGGAACAATGGGTTGATACAAATTACTCATTGCACTGGTGTCATGAGAACTTCATCGTATATCGTTCAATGACACGAGCACGAGATGTTCGAGATCAACTTGTCTCATTATGCGAACGAACTGAAGTTAAGTTAGAATCGAATCCAAATCCTGCTGATATAGTTCCTATACAAAAATCTTTTGTTGCAGGATTTTTTATGAATACAGCGAGATTGTTACCATTTGGTGATTCTTACCAAAAGATTAAATTTGGAGAAGCTGGAAGGAGAATATATATTCATCCAAGTAGTTCATTATTTCAAACACCACCAAAATGGGTGCTTTATTATGAATTAGTTGCTACCCAGAAAGATTATATGAGACAAGTTATGGAAATTCAGCCCCAATGGCTAGTAGAAGCCGCACCTACTTGTTATACAAAAGCTGAATTAGAAAAATTAGATTCAAAAAAGAAAATGCCGAAAAATCATCAAGCTGCAAGTTCATTATCCTCTTCAAGATCTTAATAAAAACTTTATATTTTTTATTTAAGTTGTATTAACTTATGGTATTAATAGAATTTTATAAATAAAATAATAATTGTAATTTCTTAATCGGTTACTATTCAGAACGTAATTTATATTTCAATCTTCATTAACATTTATTCTGTTTTTCAGTAAGTTTAACAATTAGAGCAATATAAACAAAGTAAAATTTTTAATAATAAAAATAAATTGATAAGAAAGAAGTATTTTTCTTGTATAATAAATACTAATTTAATTCTTTTCCATCTTTTCGACATTATTAAAATACACTTTGTAATCAACTTTAACATAATGACCGAGTAATTAAAGAGTTTTTCAAAATTTCTTATCCAAGAAATCTCCTGGAAATTGTACAGTTCAAGATAACTTCCACCAGCTCCATATACTCAAGCATGTGTACGGTTTGTTGGAAGTTTTATTAATGATGTTTGAGAATTCTATTCCAGTAACGATTTTCAGAAGAGATAAAGCAAATTTTGAATGGATTGTTAAATTGTTAAATTATTATCTATATCAAAAGGGTACAGTATTTGGACCTTTTATCATCCAATCAAGTTACTTAACCTCTCGTAAAGAGGATAAGAAATTGTGTATCGTTTTCTCTCTCAATCATTTATTGACCATAATTATTGAAGCATTTATAAATTTGTTCGGTTCGTAATTCAGATTGACGAAATTATAATGCCAATAATAACTGCTAATATGTTATCCAATTCCAATATCTATTAGAAAGTTTTTATTGTCTTTCTTCAGCTAATTCATTCTAAAAACTCTTGGCATACTTATTAGAAAAGATTATATCATCGTGCAAAGAATAATTTGATATTACAGTTAAACAAGTTCGTTTTGTTCACTTCTTGGTTAAAATAAATTTGATGCAAGTCACGTGAAAGTATAAAAAGAAGGATTTTTTAAAGGTGGCTGTGTTTTATCATAGTAGATTGTAAATTATTTTATATTTGATATTGTGGAATTGCAAATTCTCGCAATTCCAGGCAAGGAAGCTGATATTATTAAATAAAGAGCATAATGAAATATATCAAAATTACTAAACGATCCGTCATCGTATGTATGAAACTTTGATTCTTGGGTGAAGACGACCATGATTCGAATTTTTTGTAGGCCGTTTTGGCATTGCAGTCCTTGGCCAGATTTAGTCATTAGCTAAACCTAGTTAAAATGATGAGCCTCACTAAAAAAAATGTGTTAAAAATAGCAATTAAGCTGGTGAGTGACACAGCCACCCAGTAAATCCAGTAAAAAGTAAAAAAAAAGTAAAAATCAAAACTTGAAAAATATTTAAATTCGAAACGATAATTAAAAAATTTTCACAAAGGATATGGACCAACTAAATAATATAACCCTTTGGGATGTTAAAGATGTATTTAATAAAGTGTAAGTTTTTATTATAAACATTGTAAGTTAAGTTTCAACTAGATTGCTAAAAAGTATTTTTTTAGTAAGAATGTCGTGATGAACTATACTGAAATGGAGGCCAAAGTACGTGAGGCCACTAATAATGAACCTTGGGGCGCTAGTAGTACTTTGATGCAAGAAATTGCCCAAGGTACCTATAATTAGTAAGTGATAATGGTATAAGCTAGTTTGTTAGAATGAATTTTTTTTTATTTATACAAACCGGGAAATTTTTTGATTTATCTTCATTTTAATTGAAGCGCACATTTTAATGAGATCATGCCAACAATTTATAAGCGATTTACAGAAAAGGAAGCGAGGCAATGGAGACAAATTTATAAGGTAGCCAATTTAATTAATTGATATTTCATTGGATAGGTAATTAATTCAAATTATTTTGTTAATTTTTTATTAACAGGCTCTTCAATTGCTTGAATATCTTGTGAAACATGGATCTGAAAGAGTTGTTGATGATGCCCGAGCACATATGGGAACTATTAAAGTTTTGAGAAATTTCTCTTATTTTGACGAAAAAGGAAAAGATCAAGGAATAAACGGTTAGGAAAACATTTTTAGTTGGACATCGAATAAAAATGATTTTTTCATTTTATTTTATATATTTAATATTTAATATATACATATATTTAGTTCGTAATCGGGCAAAAGAACTTGCAGACCTTCTAAACGATAACGAAAAAGTTAGGCAAGAACGTAAGAAAGCAAAAGCCAATAGAAGTAAATTCACTGGCGTTAGTTCAGACGCAATCGGTTATGGAGGTTTTAGCGGAAGCTTTAATGGTGGATCATCTCGTTATGGAGGATTCGGAAACGATTCGTATAGTTATTGTGAGTATCGTTAAGTTTTATATTAACCAGTATTTTATTTACAAAAATTTAAAAAAATTTAATATATGAAAATATTTGTTATTGTTTAGCTGAGGAGAGATCTCGTTCCAGATATGATGATTACGACATACAATGGCAAAGTGATTATAGGTCTGGAAGGATTTCCCCATCAGATGACAGAAGATCGAGTCTCGGAAATAATAATCGATCAAGTATATCTTCAATTAAAAAGACATCCGAGTCAGTCACTTCTAATTCCAACGGCTCATCCGAACAACAGAAAGAAGTAAATTTATTTGATTTCGATGATCCTTCTGTTACTTCAGCTACCTCCAATCAAACCACTTCCAATGATTTTGGTAAGAAAAGAATATGTTTTATTATTTTAATTCAAAATATGTTTATCTTTACCTTCTATCCAATATATTTAAAAAAAATCATTTTTATAGATGATGATTTCCAAGATTTTCAAAGTGCACCACCTATGCCATCATCTCAAAGATCATCAATTTCTCAGTCATCAGGACTTCAAAATAATTCAGTTCCTTCAATTCAACCAATCACAAATTTAAAATCAGTTCAGCCTATTTCAAATGTACAATCACCAACTCAACCTAATGTAAATGTTTCTTCTGGAATTAACAATAATTTACTTGACGATTTTCTTGGTCCTGTATCTGCACCACCATCTACAAATTTGCCAATTAACACACAAAAAGCTTCCTCTACATCATTAAATACTTCACAGCCTATTAATGCTTTCAATACAACAAAACCTATTTCACCAACTACACCGAAGCAAGTAAGCAATTTAGATGTTTTAAAATATCTTTTTTTTTAATGAAAGCTGTTTTTTTAATATTTAAAAATTTACAGAACATTCCAAACCAAAATACTTCCTTTCCCAACTTGAAATCTAATGATATATGGGCATCTAATCTTGTATCTTTGGATTCATTGGGAAAAGAACCCAACAATACAAAACAATCTGCTAAGCCAACAATGAATTCTCTTGCACAAGCTGACTCTACATCTTGGGCAGTTAAAGGAACCTGGACTACTGCACAGCCAGTACAACAGCCTATTCATCATAACACTCAACTTAATTCTCAACAAAAACAACAAGATTCATTTGATTTGCTAATGTGATTTTATATCATTATTATTATAATAGAAATATAGGAAGAGTTAAATTTTAGATGATTTAATAATTTATGATGATACACCAAAAAGAAAAAATCCCAAAATATTTAATAATACAAGTATATTATGTAACAAGATTTGATTATATTAAATTATTATTTTTTATTATATTTCTTCTTAGATTTAATAGTTACAAGTTTTGGATCAAATATTTATTTGAGAGTTTAATGGGTTTCATGTTATTATTAAAAAAATATACATTTTAACAATTATTTTATTGGTTATATAGTTAATAATAAAAAATTCTATCTATTAAAAGTAGTAACTAAATTTCAAATTTTATAACCTATTTATTACTATCAGTTTAAGAATTCTGTAATTTTTAAAGTTTTACAAGTTTATAATTTTTTGTTAATTTTAAATCACTAAAATTCCATAAATTACTATTGGATTTTTTAAGAGATTTTAATAATTTAATTCATTATATTATTGTTAAATATAAGGCCAAAGAAATAAAATTATTCGTTTCTCATGAAAAAAAATTGCTAAATTTGACCCGGCCGCCCGGAAAAAAATTTTATTTTCAAAAAAAAATTTAGTCGTTTCCTAGAAGATGATTGGTTGATTCAATAAATTTTTTGCCCGGGTTACTGGGTGGAAAAAAAATTATTTTTTTATGATTATGATTGGTCAAACCCAAAATCACATGACCAAATAAAATAAATTTTTTTATCTTTTCGTAACATTTACATGACCCGCCCGGTAATGAGAAACGAATAAATTTATTTACTTGGCCTAATATATTAATTACAAAATTTTTAATCTTAACCCTTTTTAACCATAATTTTAACTCTAATATTAATCCTAATCCTAACCTAACTTTAATTCTAACTAATTCTAACCTTTGGTAATTTAATTCCAATTTTAATTATAAAAGTTTATATTCTACAAATATAAAACTTTTAAAATGTCATCAGCACAATTTTAGGTACTTTCAATATAAAAAAACTGATACAATCAAAATAATGCTATAAAGCAAATATTTTATTTTATTAATACAGTTAACATATAATTTATAATATATACAATTAGATAGTAATTTACATAATCTATTAAATTAATGAATAAATGGCATTTAATTCTATTTGCTAATATATAATCAAGTAAATCAACAATATATATTTGAAATAATTTATGCATTTTAATTAATAAATTTATATATTGCTTTATTATGACCTTTTTTCTCACAATTTTAATAAGTCTTTTGCTTGTCTTTTTATTATTATTACTTCTATTTGTATTATTATTTGACATTTAGTTATTAACTTATCATTTAATAGTTGTAAATGTCAGAATTTTCTAGCATAGTGCCATAGTAATCTTGAATTTCAATACAACTCTTTATTTTTCTAATTAGCCTTCCTTTTCTTATAGTAATTATAGGATTTTTGATATTAAAATCAATTTCTTCTATATTCTAATCTAATTCTAAAAGTACAATATAAATCCATAGCAAAAACCTATAAATTTGTTATAAGAATTAATAGCAATTGCAATGTCAAACAAATGCTTTTTACATTAAATCATATATTTTTTATTACGTACAGTTAATTTCTCTTAAATTTTAATTGTAAAATTCAGTACCACAAATTTGTTTAATATATTTTACTAAAAATAGCCAATTTTTTGAAATGATTTTATAATAATTTAAAATATTACTAAAATATATTTAATACATCAAAATATTTTTATTATACTTTTGTTATTATTTTATAATTGTATTGTATCTAGGTTTATAAAAATAACTCAAAATAATATCACAATAATTTTTAATGCTTTTATTATTATTTTATTATTATAATATAATTGATTTTGATATTATTTTAATGCTTTAATTTCAAAAATACCTTAAATAAATTTTGATATATTTTAATATATTTTAAAAATTTTACAGAATAATTGTATAATTGTATAATTGTAGTAGTCTGATTTGTAGATATGAAATCTAAATATCTATACAGATATATGGATATTCAAATATAAATTTTAAGTAACAGATAGAAAATTACTGATATACAGATATCTATTATGCATATAGGACCCCGGACATCACATATATAACTCATAACTAATCTGCATGAATTTAAGTACTTTTTGCTCCTGCTAAAATAGACCTAATTTGCTAAAAATCAAATTATCACATTTCAAATCTATACTAATTTGCTAAAACTCAAAATATGAGTTAATAATTTTTTCTTTTATTATCAATAAAAAAATAAATGATTAATATAAATTAAACTGCCAATTTTTATAATTAAAATATGTAGATTATAGATAAAATAATAATTAATAAAAATAATAAATTAAATAAATAATTATTAAAAAATAAAATGTTGCGAAACTAAACGGACGGTTTTTGGCCTGCATTATGCTTAAATTTGGCCGGAATTATACTTAATTTTGGCCAAAATATAACCTGGACCCCGAAACTAATATTTTTAAAAATATTATTTATAAAGTTAAAAAAAAAGGATAAATTAAATTTAAAAAAAAGTACCAATTTGCTCAAATATAAAATATGACTTTGTAAAATCAATACAATTTGCTAAAACTCATAATTATTACTATTAATTAATTTTCAATCAATTTGCTCTATCTAAAATTATGAGTTTAACCTAATTTTGATTGAATTTGCTAAAACTCAAATGTGAGTTATATATGTGATGTCCGGGGTCCTATGCATATTAACTAATTTTATATAATAGTTAATTAAAAAGCATAATAAAATATAATACATCAGGAAATTTTTTTAGGCGTAATTTAGTGTAATATTTTGGAGGTAGTGTAAAATTTCAAAATATTACACTAAAAAATGTAATATTTTTTTTTTTTAATCACAATATATTTGATAGTTTATTAAATTAATTGTTAAAGCAAATTACATAAGTAAGTATAACTCTAAACTATAATTTAATATTATTAACTACCAAACCACTCGTCATGCTGAAAAGCACCTCACGTGTATACTGTTGAGTGATACGTTTTGCTCAGAGGGTAAGAAATATTTGCAATGTCCTATTTTAGCATAAATGCCCTTTTTCTTCACAAGGCAATCACAGGATCCACTACATTACAAATAAAAATAAAAAAATAAAAAAAACAATTTTTAGAATTCCTGTAAAATCAAAAAAATTAAACAATCCAGATCATTCCTTTTCCATAAATCTACTACTTTACTAAAAATTGCCAATTTTTTGAAATATTTTTATAGACCTAGATACAATAGCTTTCAAAACAATTGTGCAATTATTTTGTAAAATTTTTAAAATATATCAAAATATATTTAAGGTATTTTTGAAATTAAAATATTAAAATAATATCAAAATTAATTATATTATAATAATAAAATAATAATAAAAGCATTAAAAAATTATTGTGACATTATTTTGAGATATTTTTATAGACCTAGATACAATACAATTACAAAATAATAACCAAAGTATAATAAAAACATTTTAATATATTAAATGTATTTTAGTAGTATTTTAAAATTATTACAAAATCATTTCAAAAAATTGGCCATTTTTAATAAAGTAGCTCCAGTGTTGGACAAATCCATCTATCCAAATTGTAGGATCTTATGAGCGCACAATTAAAATCAAAACCCAACTTCTTTACTAAAAATGGTCAATTTTTTGAAATGATTTTGTAATAATTTTAAAATACTACAAAAATACATTTAATACATCAAAATGTTTTTATTATATTTTTGCTATTATTTTGTAATTATATTGTATCTAGGTCTATAAAAATAACTCAAAATAATATCACAATAATTTTTTAATGTTTTTGTTATTATTTTATTATTATAATATAATTAACTTTAATATTATTTTAATATTTTAATCTCAAAAATACCTTNGATATTATTTTAATATTTTAATCTCAAAAATACCTTAAATATATCTTGATATATTTTAAAAATTTTACAAAATAATTGCACAATTGTTTTGAAAGCCATTGTATCTAGATCTATAAAAATATTTCAAAAAATTGGCCATTTTTAGTAAAGTTGCTGTAGATAGGAGAGTCTATACGCTTACTGGATATTGCTAGTTGAGAATAGATGAGGTCCTATTTGCAAAATGAAGTTTGAAAAGCGTAACGAGATAAGATATCTACTATAGAGTGTCTAGATGCACAACTATAAAATCCTAATACTAGTAGTCTTCCCCATATCATAACGATTTGTAACTACCGTTTGAAAGCTCTATCTGAAAAAATATATAGGTAATAAAAAAAGACAAAAAAAGAAGTTGCAAAAAATTGAAAAAAAACTATATAAAAAAATTAAAGAAACACAAAAATCCTGGTATAGTATTAATCTACTGGTAGGTTTGTCACGATTCTTCTTTTTTCTTGGAGCGAAGAAACAACTAAAGATGAGACTCAGGCGAGTACATGATAGTTGCACAGGTCGAATGAAAAAAAATCGGATTTTGACCCTTTTAAAATAGCTTTGCCGATATTAGCATAAACATGCCGATTTTTGCGTATTTATGTATAGATGTACCCATTTATGCCGATTTTTAATAAAATCCGATACATCAGTCAGAAATACCAGTTTTTAATGGCCGATCTTTGTTAATATTAAATTCAGATGTTGTATTATTATATAGTATTGCTCGCTTTTCATATCGGAGGTTTGATGTACAAATCGGAATTTGCTCCTTTAAATATAGCCATGCCAATTTCAGTATAGCTTTCGATGAAATCTGATACATCAGTCGGAAATACCAATTTTTAATGGCCGATCTTTGTTAATATTAAATTCGGATGTTGTATTATTATATAGTAT